AGTGAAAAATGGGCGAATACAACGAAGTTGGAAATTAAGCATGTTTTTTTTTTTCAAATCAAAGTGACACTGCTAATAGTGCGCTTTCTCATGTGGTAACTACCCATTATCTCGATCATCAATTTGGGAAAATTTAGCTAGAGAAAATACCAATAGCCGTTAATTATATAATAGAAACATTTTTATATAGACGTATTTTTATTTAAGTATAAATTCTTGCATCAAGAGCACTGATTCGCCCCTCTTGAACAACGACGCCAACATGACTTTAACCCCTGAAGTGGCGCAAGGTCTAGATATCAACGATGTTAGAGAAACCGAAGGGTCTGAAAGCTTTCAACACCAGCTTGTCGAGGGTGATTTCTTCCCTTCTGCCGTAGACGACATCAGTGTGGACCCGGAGCTCATTGCAGAGCTGACTGGTTCCAACCCCGGGCTGATGATGGCAGAGGACGAGGTCGAACTCATACCACATATTAGCAGGCCAAAGCGATCGGCAATAGCCAAAGGTGGCAGTGACAAAAAAAAGAAACGCGTTAGGTGGGCTGACAAAGTTGATCTGGATATTAGCAACGACGCTTCTGGATGCTCGTTAAATCAACGGTTGCTGAAACATGTCAAAACCTTTTGCATACCCCTTAGCTCTGAAATAAGCTCGTATTCCTTGGACGAGGCAAATGTACAAAATAACACGACTCAATTTCCAACCGTGGGATCACCACCACCCTCAATTTTCCGTGAAAAAAAAAACACAGATGGCAGTGTTTATAAATTCTGCAAGGCCCAGCGGCCATCAATATACTTTATAGAGTGGGGGCGCCAACCGCATGGTGCCGATCAGGTACCATTTCGGACACAACCGGTGGAAATTGACACCGTGCCGAGCAAAGCGATGACTCTTTTTAGCGCTTTGTACCCCAAAGAACCGAGGAGCATTCCGGGTGACTATGCAAAAGCGCGAGTCGCCACTGGCGCCCACCAAACTTCTCGGTGCCCCCAGCTCCCCTTTATTCGAGTCGATACCCTGCTGAACGAGCCGCTTCGAATCCCCCTTTAGTGGCATTTTATGAAAAACAGCATCCCATTCATAGAAAATAAATACTCTAACAAATTGAAAAAAAAAATAAACGTGCGCGTTACTTTTCATTTGAGGACATGCACTTTTTTTTTTTAATCAAACTTTCACTTTTGCTCCCCCGCCATCCTCAGCGGATCAAAAAAATCAGGGTGGCCCATGAAAAAAAGAAGGAACCGCTGTGGCGCAAAAGCGCGCGGAATCTGGAGAAAACGCTCTCCGTGGGGATCGAACCCACGACCACACGGTTAAGAGCCGTGCGCTCTACCGACTGAGCTAGGGGAGCTTGGCCAGGGGAAGTTGTTATATAATTGGTGAGTTAAATGATGAAACCCCGTGCCCATATTTTTTTCGAATCGATAAGAAGATCACCTCGACGCCCAAAAGAATAAGTATATAGAGTAACACTGTGGGTTTTGTTAATTCACATTTAAGGTATATAACAATTCAATCGATCTGTATGCTAAATTCTAAGCATTTTATGCTGATTTACACTTTTTTTTAATTCATTAAGAGTGTTTCATTTTTCTTCAAGATTACAGAATTGACCCTCATATTTCCCTTTAGTTCATTTAGAACCAAATCCATTCAATGCTTTATGATTAGAATTTTAAAGTTTACCCTTATGAAAAATCTTATTTTTTCCCCCAAAGGCGTATTTTGGTAATGGTGGAGATTGCCCTCTATAGAAATGGGGCAATGTTCGGCTTTGGCGCCGCCAGTTTCATTTCCTAGATATAAGGTGGGTTATGATGTGTTTTGTGAAATGGAAAGCGACGTTTCCCTTTTTCTTACCAATATAATCCTATCCTTTGAATTAAAATTGCTTTCGCTTCCGTTATTTCATGGTATTTTTACCTTTCCAGCAACTGAAACGTAGTAATTATAACATATCTTTGCCCTTATGAGCCAAATTTTTGAAATTCCATGATTTTCCCCTAAAAAATATATATTTATTTAACACTCCGTGTATTTATATAATTTTACAAAGATCTTTATAAAAAAACAATCAGTGGCATCAGATTAAATGGAAAGGTTTTTTCTCTTTTCCTGCCAGGATATGGGTGTCTACCAAAAAAATAGCCCCACCCGAAAAAAACTTAAAAAGGAAATTTTGTGGCAAAAGAAAGTTTGAACCTATAGGCATGGAGATATGAAACGATAGTTATGGAAAGAAATCTGATAAAATGTCTGCGAACCTGTCTTGAAAACAAACCTTTTATATCTTATGGAACTGATGAAAGGTGCGGCAACTTATTTGGTTTATTTAATTGAGTTTAAGCATTAAAATTAATGCCCCTGGATGACCCCACTTTGACAAAAAGTGTTCAAAGGCCGATTTCGGATCTTACTATGATCGATGTAGTATTTGCATAGGTGTATTTTTTACGGTTTCATTTTATCTTTCAGGAGAAAATTGTGTGCGTAATGGTATATTTTTTTCTCCTGTTGTTTCTAATGCAATTTTTTTTTTAAGCAATCCTTACACATTCTATACAGTATAAATCTCAAAGTTATTTGTCGGATAATACAAGAATTAAGAAACCTTTGGGCATCAGTCTTCCAATAAAATCTGTAAACATAGTTTTTTTTTGAAATCTTATGTTCAGCTTTTTGCTAGAATGGTATTACATCGATATTAACTTCATACTATTCTACTCTTTTTTTTATTGTCATGACCATTTTTCTCACAAAGGGAAAACTTTATTAATCCAATTTATTTAATAGATTCAGTGTGCTTCTTTGTTAAAAATAAATATTTCTCTTTTTTTTCACGGCAATACACAGTGTACTTTGCGTAAGTCACCATAATTCTTTAACAAATATATATTTGATGACATAATCTCCTTAACCTGTTATTACCGTTACTTTTGCTGAGGTTTGGTTATCCTTTAATTTATTCATGTGTGTGAAAGTCAACTTTTCTCTAAGAAAAGACCTGTGACATTAAGTCGTTTACCTATTCTCTCTTCTTCTATTATTTTTTGCTGTTGAGATATGCCACCAGGATGTGTTCTTTGTTAAACATACGAAACAGATTCGAAGAGTTTGCCTCTATAAGAAGCAATGTTAAGACACTTAGAAATCAGGAAGGGTTGGCTTGTGTGAAAGCACAATCCCCTTCTCCTGCTGAAGAACCTAAGCAAACATGGAACCCTCCATGGTTACGTGCCTTGGAGGGGTTCTCCGCGCTTGAAAAAATAGTCAAAGATAAAATGGATACTTTAGTTGAGCGTCAGAAAAGTTTTTTTTGTCCAAATTTCTTATCGGAGGAAGATGAAACTCTACTTCAAAACATAATCGACACATCAGCTTTAGAAGTCAGGAAGTTGTTAAAAGAACTTGAAAGATTTGCTATTTGTGATGTGAACCTTCACTGCACTTACAATTCTGATGAACTTATTATTCACAGCAATGTTAAAAGGTATCTTTGCTCTCATCTGAACCATCTAGTGCAAGACTTTAAGAATGCTCAGGAGTTCTATATCAATAAACTTAGGCTGAGATGGCATAAAAAACAAAGATATATGAAGTTTGGATCTGATGAAGGACATGAACTAGTATGCCAGGAAGAAAAAAGTATTCCTTTCTTCAAAATGGGATACTCAGAAGCTAGTATTCAAGAGCTCATGAAAGAATATAAAAAAAGCGAAAAGATTGATGAAGAAGTGAAGCATATTCTTAATACTCTTAAGGAAATACATGAATTGTTCGAAGACCTTAATAAACTTACGACAAAACAAAGTGAAATTTTAGATCGCATTGATTATAGCATTAAGTGTGCCTCTACCCACACCTTGAATGGAAAAGAGTCCCTTAAAAAAGCTCAAGAGTCTCAAGCAGGTAACTACTGTGCCATAATCTAAAAACAAAGAAAGTAGCCGTATTTACACAAATAAATAAAAAGTATTTAACAACTAATAGTTTGTCGCTATACATTGTAAATTAACTAGAGGTCATAGTTTTCCTCCTATCAAAGTAAAATCTTTTTTTTTTTGAGTACTTCTCTTCTACCGTGTTGAAAAATATTTTACTTGACTTTTAACTTTAAATGTTTTCCCACTTCCTCCCCATTTTGTGTTAGTTGAACTCTAGAATTTCAAAAATGCGGCCATTAACTGAGGAAGAGAGTAAAAAGCTTTTCGAAAAGCTATCCCAATATATTGGAGCGAATACCACTCACCTTTTAGATCGCAAGGGTGATGAAGAACATGTATTTCGTCTACACAAGGGTCGTATTTGGTATATGCCACTTCGCCTTACTAAACTTGCTAGTTGTGTTGCCAAATCTAATCTCATGGGCATCGGTGTGTTGTTTGCAAAGCTAACTCATAGTGGTAGCATCCGAATTCAAGTAACTGCTCTTGAATTCATTGCACAGTATTCTCTCTTCAAGATTTGGATTAAACCTAATCAAGAGCAAAAATTTTTGTATGGAGGTAATGTCACACGAGCGGGTCTCGGACGTATCACAGAATCAACACCAAAGTATCAGAAAGTAACTGCGTTTTCAATGGGTGACATTCCCCTTGGATTTGGTGTCGCTGCTCAAAGTACTTTAGAATGCCGGAAGTGCGAGATGAATGCTCAAGTTCTCTTTCATGAAGCTGATGTTGGTGAATATCTACGCAATGAGTCTAAGATGACGTGAAAAGTGCACATATTATGCTTGATAATCACCTGAATGTTCATCTATATAATTAATATAATTCTAGTATAAACAACGAATAAAAATGGATAAACATTGTGCAGATGGTGTATTTAGTTTTAATAGTTAACTGTCATGCTCTTTCACAATAAAAAGAAAGTGATTAAAAAAAAAATGTGTTATGTATGCTTTAATGCTACTCTACGTATCTTTGACTATATTGTAGTTTGGTCTGTGTTGCATAAACTAATAGATTTTTTTTTTTGAAGGATATAGTAATATATAAAAAAAGTATGTCTCTTCCTGTTAAGCAATCACTTAACATATTGGAAAAGAAGTTAGTTCGAGCAGCCCGAGGCTTCTACGATTACAACTTTAGGCAATATTTTCTTCAAAAGTCCAAAGACTGTATTGCCACTGCTAGAAATCTTTCCAGTGAAGAACAAGAAAAGTACCTTAAAACTGAAGGGCGAGAAATGCTTAAACAAATGAAGCGGATGGTTTTGGTGAACCGTATGTATGGTTCACAACCAGTTTTTTTAGACAGAAAAAAAGATGATTCTCCTATAACTCCCGTGAAAAAGGAATAATAGTTTCACATTTCTAGTGTGGATAGGTTTTCTTTTGCTCGACTCTGAATTTTTCACATACCACTAGTGATTACTTACCTTTGTGCCTTATCATACTTTAATATTTGAAGAAAACGTTACAATATTGTTTTCAGAAGCTGTCTTGCTTTATAACTTGTGCATTAAGTTAATGGATTTCTTTGTTCATAAATTAAAAACCTTATAGCTCTGATATTAGTATTTATATATAAATAAAATAGCACATAAAACGCATCAAATGTATAATCCATATTAATATAACTATTTGTTTCTGCAAGCATACCTTTTTTGTAATTTATCTATAATTCTATTGTTTACTTTAAGTGTTTTTTTTGTGGCTTGCATCCTTTTTTATGCCTGGATTGCTTGCTTTCTTACGTTTGCGACTGAATCAACGTAGATGTTAAAGTGCCTGCGGCTTAGGTTTTCCATTTCCTTTAATGGCCTCTTGGCTTCAGTTGTCAGATGAAGAAATTAAACAACGTAATGACCATCTCATACGGACTTCTCTGCGGGCGTATCTCCAACACGACACGATTCTATCGCTTTCAACTTCCTTAAATGATATATTTACTTCGCCTTTAGCTATGGTGTCCTCAGGTCTTTCATGCTGTGATTGTATGCTCCACGAAGCTAATATTGGAATCACCCACAATGGTGGCTTTCCCACAGGGACTCTCACGGAGTTCTATGGTCCTCCATTGAGCGGGAAAAGTTATATGCTTAAATGTGCTGCTCGATCCTTTGTCCATAAGATGTTATCCATACAACGGCATTATGAAACACAAAACTTCTTAAATAAGAAACAGCTAAAAATGTCAAGGGAGGAAAAACAACAGAAGTATGTTCGTACGAACAGTTCTAAATCACGACTAACAACAACACATTCTCAAATCACTGATGAAATTATTGCTGAGTCCCTCGAGTGGGATGTATATATATGTTTATGTACAAGTCAACTTCCAGGACCTAGCATACGCGAAAAACAAGAAGGTGGACAAAACTGGTGGAGCCTACTGGCAGAAAAAAATTCATGGAACACTGAAAAATCTTCTTATGCTAATAAACATATCCATGTGGTCACCATCTATCATCCAAACGATTTATTAGACTTCTTGTCCTTTCTTGATAAGAAGCTCCAGGTGAATTCTGATAAAACCGATGATGCAAATAAAAATCGAAAGGAACACCATCACATCCCAGCAGAGAAAAAAAGCCCACGAGGTGTGCCTGTGAGTGAGGCCTCCACAGCGGAAAATTTAACAGTTCACACTTCAGTTCCTCCGTTGGATGTCGATGAAAAAAAATCTAGGAATACAGGTATGAGGTGCGATAGCGTTTCATACAAAAACGAATCCTTGCCAAATAGGGTTATGAATTTTGATTCTACATTATTGTCTGTACCATTCCAGCCTCAGAAGCCAAAGGAGTCTAATGCCAGCGAATATTTCTCACAAGATGAATTTAGTGAAAGAATGGTTAGCGGTCAGTCAACTGCTAATATAGAATGTACCATGGCAAAGAATGTTGAAATGTCTCCCAGTGGTCTCGATGCCGAAAAAGGGACAAATGTCTACCCGCGTACCTTGCCTGGCGGCTATTCACCTTTTCAGAGACAACGAAGACGACGGAAAAAGAGTGTCCTACTTCTTATTGATTCTTTATCCTGGATCTGGCAGCATCCGGCACTTCAAAGTAGTTCGGACCTAGGCAACACGCATCCTGTGAACTGGTACGCAGCGGAGCTCCACAGGCTGCTGCGTATTTGTCTTCAGCCTCGGTTTGCACCACTTGAGCCCGAATTCGGAAAAATAGAAAACGAACTCTTTTGTACTTTGCATAATCCAATACAGGAAATTATGACAACAGCTATTGTGGCTAATGGATGTGCTTTTCAGGACCTCTTCACCCATTCCTTTCCTAACCCTGAAAGCAGAAGCGCATCTCTGAAAAATCAACCGGTGAGAAATATGAAAAGCAGCGGTATTGCCTACCAAAATAAGGTACACTTGATACCTCAGACAAAGCCACTCGGAAAAGAAGCGTGGTTGGAAGCTCCAGATTACCAGATTTTCTTAGAGGTGGTCGATCCACGCGCGCTTGGGGACTCATCGGCAAGTGTTGTCACTGTTGGAGGATCAGACTTGGACAAGAATATTGGTCGAGAAACACTCAAGTATGGTCTCTCAAAATTAAGTTTCAATGATGATATTAGAGGCAATAATTATGATGATGGCGACAAGAACCTTGAGGGGTGCACCTCTTTAAACTACGAAAGGGGAAAGCCTCGTTTTAGAACTCGTTTATATCTGATGAAAGGTGGAAATATCCATAACACATGCATGGTACCATATATATATAAATATCACTAAAAAAGGGGGTTAAAATTGATGCAGACGAGCAAACAATTCAGCGTAAGGGTAACAGGTGATTTTTATTTTACTGCTAACTCTGAGATAAAATTTAAACTATTTTTATCCTTAATTTATCTATGATGTTTCTAACAACATTGAACCTGAATTACATGTGGATGTATGGACGACTCTTACTTCCTTTCACAAGCCTTTACTTTTGATTTTATCGCCTTTCATCACCCGCTGAAAGATTTCTTGAATCAAGCTTTGTCCTGCATATTTTTTGAGAAGTAGCAAAGTTCTTCCTCATTTATATATGAAATTTGTATAGTTATCTTCGATTTCATTTCCTACAATACTTCTGCTAATCAGGCTTCCCATTGCTTTGTTGTTTGAGCCACCATATTTAAGGTAACTTCTTTTTCAATAAATATATTGATATGTATACGATACAAATTGACGATCTTGTCATTCAGCTCCCTTCAAATACATGTAACTCATTTAACCCATCCTACGCGTTCGGTGGTCATAGCTCTGGTGCCGTGATCGGACTACGAGACGTCCATTCTGGTGTTATTTTGCTTCCCATTGACCCTGAAGGAGATCTAATCGTAACTCCCGGCCACAGTTACAACGTTATCCTTATTACCGAGAAGGGTAGTAAGCGAACATATCAGAATGACGAAATTGTGAAGAAACACAGTCAAAGCGATAATATACAGAATACAAATCCAAAGCGTGTCGCTGAAGAAACTCACTCGCTGGTTGGCAAGTCCACCACACTCCTCTCACAGGCAGCGCCCAAAACCACTGACGAAGGCTCAGGAGCTCATCCCATAACGGCATTCACGCCACACATCGAATACTCCAACCCGGCTGAGGGTAACTCCCTGTCAACACGAAAGCATGGGCACCAGCATCGGCGGCTGAAAATCAACTTCACCGCTCCGAGCCCGGTGGAGCCCTTCCCCCACACCAAGACGGCAACCTCGATGGCCGCGGAGGTTACCAAAAGAACCAAACCAGGGGACGGCCCCCAACACGGAAAGAACAGTGCCAATACCCCCTCCCATCATGACACAGCGAAGCGACTCCCCTCCCCCCCCTCTAACGCGGGGAAAATGACCAAGGCAAATCCAATGAAGGAGGATCTGCCAATCAGTGTCACCTTTTCAGGAGAGGAAAATGGGGTAGTGAGGGAGGAGATAAGGCCCCTGATGCCGGCTCCTCGGAAACGCGACAGGATCTTGCAGGAATCTCATTCATCAAGTGCTGCCGAGGTCGAGGACTTGTCCAACATCGCAGACAGAAGTCAGTTGCACCCCAATGATAAAAGTGCAACTGGTAAAAAAAAAAAAGACTTAGATTCTTTATTGCAGCTGGTGCATACACCACCTGTAATGCCCATTGCAGTGCCTAAAACGAGTAAACATAATAAAAGCGAGAAAGACGGCATGTCACTCATTGAACAATTTGCCACTTTGAATGAGCCCAGGGTTTCCCCTCCTAGATCAAATCACAGATCACCGACAAAAACAAACAGAAAGGGCGAAAATACAGCTGAAAATAGCCCCCCAGAGAAGTCGAAAAGCAAAAGTGGAAAACAACCCCCTCAAATATCCTTGCCAAACGTTGTGGGTGGAGAAGTCAACGTCACAAAACGTAGGCGCCGCGCGCCGTTGGATATCTCCACAAGTTCTGATTCTGATTAACAAGAGCTGCATGCACTAAAAGAAAATGTTAGATGTTGGCAAATTTTAAATAAGTTGGGGCCAATCTGGAAACGGGAATCAGAGGTCAATCTCACTTTCCAGATCCCAACTCTCTTACCCTGATTAGACCATTGAGTGTATTCAAAGGAAGAACTAAAAGATGTGGAAGAAATGGAGCGATATAGAACTCATTGAATTCATTTAGTTTTCACTGCTACATTGACTTTGGGTATATCTATTTAAATATTTCTGTGTTCACAAGTGTGTAGATCCCCTTTTATTTTCGTGTATGTTGTTGTTTAAATACCACTCGCACGCAGTTAGATTTTGCGGTATCTAACATCCAAAATCTCTCATTTAGAACAACGTGTAATTAATATTTATTGTTTATTGCTCTAAAACACCTCCGCCACTATGAAAGCTCGAAATGCTCGTTAATAATCTCGATTTAATGATCACACACATAAAAGAGAAGCGATCATTTAAAAGGTAATCAAAGATAAAGCACATGATGATTGAAGACAAATTGTCATTTTCCTTATTACTCTTGTATACACCTTATTTCTTTCTGTTTTACTTACTTTTATTTCCCTATTTGGTTACCAAGAATTTAAGAATTCGTATGGAAAATTATTAAGTTTTATTCATTATTTCCTAGAGTTATTTTCTTTTACCTATACTTATATATTTATACATTAAAAATATATATATACTTATTAAAGCATAGAGTGCAACTAAGGTTTCACTAGTGAAAACTAATCATTTTTTTTGTTATTAATCGCCATTGAATGACATATGAATCGGTCTCATTCTGTTTCTTGTATGTTTCACCTCTTAATTCAGTATTGAGGAAACTTATTTATCTGTTCTGTACGAACTTCACGCTGGGAAGGGTAGGATAAAAAGGCTCGCATGTTGAGTTTTCTATAGCCTTTTAACAGTTACTTGTAATTGATATATTAGCTGCTTCAAGTAAGACGTTAGATTTATGTATATATATATATATATATATATATATA